GATATTTTGAAGAATCAGATAGCATGGTTTTCAGTAGCAACGATTATGATCAAATTCGTGAAAATGAATTTGGACAATCAAAACTGAGAATACTTATGGAAACTAAAACTTTGTTATTCATTGGATATGGTGCTGGAATGTTTGATCCAAATTTTTCGAATTTATTGAAATGTATATTTCATGTAACGAGTGAAAAACCAATGTCAATGTATAAACTTGTTAAATCAAATAACAATAAAATGTTCAATCAAATATCAGATGTTTCATTTTTGGACAATATTAGAGAAATTCAATATGGCAATACTTTAGAAGATTTATTACAATTTATAAAAAGTCTCAAATCATTTACACCACTAATACATGAAAGTTTATTATTTACAGATAAAAAAGAAAGTATTCGCAAAAAATATTTGAATTATCTTATTAACGAACATGGACACGTATCAATACTTGGATATTCTAATACTAACATTAGTTTACCATTGCAAAGTGTTTATGTAGAATTAAAATTTGATCCAACACATCCATCTATTAAAGCAATGAAAACACTTGAAATGAATGAAGAATTTAAGCGTAAACTGTTATCTCATGGTTTTTTTGATAAAAATGAAATAAAAAAATTAAATCGAGCTATCAGAGAAAGAAACACCTTCAATTATGACACTATTTATAGAGATTTTATGATTGATCAATGGTTAAATGTTTTGTTAAGTAACGAAAATATTTTTACTGTAAATGAAGCAACTGCTATCAAGAATAAAGTGAATCAATTAAAACAAAGTATTTTAGAAAAAAATAGTCTTAAAGAAGCAAAACAATATCAAATTCAACAAGTATATTATAAATTTAAACATTTTATAATCTTAGGACATCCTGGCTCAGGTAAAACTACTTTATCAAAATGGTTGGTAATGAATATGGCTAAGCAGTGCTTAGATGAGAAAAATATGTTATTTGATAGCACTTGTTCTATCAAAAACAAAATACCAACTCTTATTCCAATATGGAAATATATTGATCAATTAAAAGAAAATTCAAATAAGCAAAGAAAAACATTACTTCAGTTTATTTATGAAGATGCTACTCTTAATTCAACATTTTTCAATGATGAAGAACGAAAAGAACTATCATCTTTGATTATGAAATCATTAGTACAAGGAAATGTTCTAGTTATATTTGAAGGATTAGATGAAGTTCCTGTTCATGTAGATCGATCTGATTTGATGAAAGAGATAAATACATTATTAGAACGAGGAATAGATTATGATGCACACTGTGACAAACTTAGTTATTCAATTTATGAACAAAAGGAAATAAATAATACCAAAGATCCTATTATTGGAAATCGATTTATTATAACAAGTCGTATTGAAGGAAATTATTTTGAAGAAATCAATTTTTATATACCAAGATTAACTATTGAAGATATGACTAATGATGCTTTGAAATTATTTTGTAGTTCATATATGGAGTCTATTAAAGATATTTCTATAAAAGCAGGAAGTGCTACTAAAGAATATAAAACTGATCAATTATATAATGATATAACACAAAATAAAGATATTTTTTATTTAGCAATTAATCCACAATTAGCCAGTCTGATTGCTGCAATTTATAATCAATATGAAGATAAATTACCTGAAAAAAGAATTGATTTATATCAAAAAGCCATTGAAAAAATGATAGAACGATTGGTTACTCTTCATGTTAATTCTGCAACAAATTTTCTAAGTCAAGAGTTCGAATTCAATTCTACTATGCTATGGTCAATATTGCAAGAAGTAGCTGAATATTTACATAGTAAAGTTGAAGGACTATCTGAGAACAATTTAAAAGAAATAATAAGAAAATGTTTATTAGATTATCAAACACGAACATTGAACAGTCTTACAATAAACATTTTTGTATCCTCCATAAAGAGCAACAATTAAACATAACCAATCATTGTTTTTTATGATATGTTTGATGATTTCGGGATTTTTATTTATTTTATTTTTAAACATCAAATAGGTTTACTAAATGAGTTTGGTCATAATAGTTTTCGATTTATACATCGTACGTTTCAAGAATATCTGGCAGCTAAAAGTATTATCTATTCTTATGGAATTGAACGATCTCAAGATATGATTTATGAAAATATTAAAAACAAAATTGATATTCCTAATTGGAGAATTCCTCTTAGTATGACATTTGGAATACTAAGTAAATCAGTTCAGCATAGTGAATTATTTAACAATATTGTTACACGATTGTTAACAGATGAACAAGCTTCATCCAATGCACAATCTTCTACACTTCTAGTACCATTTATTATTATTGATTCATTAAATGATATGTACTTCTTATCAAACGAAACAGAATATGAATTAATTCGAAAATTAGCAGACATGCTATTATTTGATTATAAAAATATGTCTGGTTTCTCAAGATTAAAAGAACATCAGAAATTAATTCAATCATATTTCTTGAAATTGAAAAAAAAGTATGATAATACAATTGCAGAATGGTTTATTGAAAAGATAAGTCATGAAGAAAATGTTGCTGCATGTGCCAACATTACTTATCAACTCAAATGGTATAATCCAAAATTTCACGAAATATTTCTAGAGAATTTACACAATGATTCTATCATGTGGAATTGGCCAATCGATTCAGTCTTCCGATTTTATTCAAATGACATTAGAGATGAAGCAGTTTTAAGGCAATTGAAATTTAAAAATAAAATAAATAAAAATCCCGAAATCATCAAACATATCATAAAAAACAATGATTGGTTATGTTTAATTGTTGCTCTTTATGGAGGATACAAAAATTATAATACAGAAAAAACTATTTCAGAATATTATGAAATAGCTCAATTTCTTGATTTAAGTGATAAACAAAGAGCACCATTTATCATTTATTATCAAGATGTTTGGGGCAAAGATGATGCAGCCTATAATATGGCAGTACGTGCTGATGATCTGCATAGGGCACGACATTGGAATGATAGATCAATATTTGACAAGAATGAAATTTACAAAGAATCATTTCTGACAAACAAAATCCTCGGATTACTTCTTGAAGAAAAACCAGCAATAGAGTTAACAGAAAAATTGCGAAAACAAATAAACAGTCAAAAATTAAAAGCGAATGAAAAAACGGAAGCATTAATCGCATTAATTGCTCTAGGAGATTTCGATTTTCTAACTGGTATTATACAAGAAGGAAACGAAACATTTATCCACAGTTTTGAAAATCGAATAGAACAGCTTATTTATATTTTGAAAGATCCAATTGCAAGATGGTCATTGCATATTGACAAATATTTACTTCAAATCTACAATGATATGAAAGTGAATCAGTTGAAATATAATACAAGCTTTTTAAATTATTGCACAATATATTTATCCTTAATAGCCAATAGTGGAGGATTACCAATTGACACTAAGATGTTAGCTGAAACTACAGATAATGCTGAAGATAAATATAGTTTATATGCAGAATATTTTGCCTTTAAACTTACCGGTGCTGCCGATAGTTTCCAGCATCACGTAGCTGTTTTATGGAAGAAATGCATTTCTTTAAGCAAAACCGATCAAATTATGAAATCATTTTTAAAAATTAGTGATGCAGTTCAGATTTATAGACCGATTCGAGCATATCCATGGCCTACAGATATATTTACTTTTAAGTCAAATAATGAGGATGATATATCGATAGCATTCTTCAATTGTTTAGAGAACATAAATACAAATGTACCGTACTTAGTAAATGGCATTTCTGAGCTCTTCTTTAAAGAAGGATATTTCAATAGAAATCCTGAATTGATTCCATTAGTTATATTGTTACACTTTGGAATTATGTCAAAAGATTTAGATAGATTTAAGATCTACAAGAATTTACTACCTGAATTAGCTGAAACGTCAGATATTAAAGATTTTTTATTCGAAAAAATTCAATCAATGCGCAATCCCTACTATAAATCGAGAGCATTATATCAATTAGCTGAATTTTATGATGAAAAATGCTATGAACTATTAAGTGAATCTTTTACATTAACAAAAAATATTCAAGAGCCAACTTTAAAATTTCAAGTTTTGGAAAAGATTTTTAGTATTGTTCATTATAAAGAAGTAAAACATATATTGCTCATTCAGCAAATAGTTGATGAATTAATTTTAACATTTGACAATATTGAAGATCTTTATAACCGTATTATTGCATCGATAAGATTATCATTTTATGGATCAGGAGAATTTCGAAAAAAGTATTTAACAAATGCTATAGAAACACTTATTAGAATGAATGAAGATAATGACAAAATCAAATTAATTATTAAATTAAAGCCAATAATTAGTATTTATGATGATCTTCAAATTAAATTCAATGGAATTATAGAAACTCTCGAAAATAAAATACATAATTATATTGTCAATTCTTACTATGGAAGAATATTATGTACTGAAAACTTACATGTTCATACTTCTAACTTCAGTTTAGATATAAATCAAAATTTAGAAAATAGAAATAATAACGAGAACAATGTAGAGATTCCAGATTATACTGAACTTCAAGGTTTATTCTTATTGTTTGCACAATTAAATGATACTAAACTAATAATTAATAAAACAGAGAGTACAGATCAATTATGGATTAATCTTGTTAAAGATACTGATAATCAGTCAAATATTGAAAAGATCTTAAACATTGGTTTACATAATGAAATATTTTTAACACCACAAGTAGCAATTATTCTCGATGAATTAGTGAATAAAGGAAAAGAAGATACTATTTCAATTCTTTTCCCATGTATTATAAAACCATCCAATGAAGTGTTACCAATTGTTCAGAGATGGTTTACGCAATATAATAACAATCATATCAAAAATTTATCAGCTCTTTTACTTACAGAAGCAAAGCATGTTTTTGAACCGGCAATTGATACAATTATTCATTTACTAAAAAGTGATAATGATCAAATGAGATATAGAGCTCAACGAATTTTTCAACATCCAGAAAGAGATGTCAAAGAACCCAGTAAGAGAATATCTGTAATAGGAGAAAAAACATTGATGAAAATTGTTGAAAATGTACAGGTTAAAGAGCATCTTCCACGAGTTCGAGCTTACGTCCTTAGTTTTTTCTACGATTTACTATGGGATGATCCTACAGTGTTTCGAAACTTATGCCAAAATATCAATCAATTAAAAGACAGAAACTCTGTCAGTGAAAAAAGAGTGCAGTTCTTCAATAGAATTCAATTCATAAATGATCATATTTGGGATTCAATAATGAGAACATTAAAATCATCACTAGATCCATCAAATGCAGAACAACTACTTTACTCAATAATGTTACTAACACAATATGACCAAATTACACATGAAAACTGGATAGAATTTGCAAGAATACTATCAATTACAGACACAAGTCAATTTAAAGAAAAAATATTCTTTGTACGTAGAGATGTAGAAAGAATAGAATTTATTATTGATAACGTTTTTGCATTAACAGATACTAATGATGAAACATTTTTTGAAATTCTGGAATCAAAAATAATTAGCGAAATATGTGTGAAAGTTGAAAGTCTCTCACAAAATGGGTATGACGAAATAAAACATATAAGTCGATGTAACTTTTATGCATCAAATGATTTAAATCAAACAATATTAACTATGCTAAATAATACTTCAATAAGTATTGTTCTTATGGAAAATTTAATTAAATGGCTAATACAAAAAATGAAAAGTTTTAAAGATTTTGATGATACTATATTTTCTTTGATATTATGTGAAAATGTATTATCTTTGGTTTCTGCTTGTGTTCAAAAGGATGATTATTTGTATCGAAAAATAACAAACTCTTCAAATTTTAATAAATTGCAAATGATTATACTTTTGGAAAAAATGCTGAATTATCATCCATATTTTTTAGCAAGAGGCAACGCTTTCATATTACTTTCAGCAATGGACCAATCTGATCATAGAGTAATCACAAATGCCATGAACACATTACTTGATGAAAATGTTGTGAAAGAATATTCTGTAATTGGAATGCCTCTAGTACATTTATCACCAAATGAATTTATTGATGATTTACTTGAATCTTTAACACATGAAAGTGCTGTAAAAGCTTATGAAATATCAAAAATTTTTACAGAATTTGTTCTAAATGAAAAAATAGATACAACAGGTAAATCAAAAATAATAAAGTACTTAGCAAATGAAATTGGACAATTAAAATCAAAGAAACCTGTTAATTATTACTATACCGATATAAGAATTCCTTTCACAACAACGTTGGAAAATGAATTATATAAAGCATGGATTAAAATACAAGGGCTCTCTGGTAAAACACAATATTCTATTAAGATTGAAAAATCAAAAGAATAATATTATTCAATATTAAATGATAAACTATCTTTAGAGCTCACTATTCTTATTTTATTGACTATTTTCTTTCGTACTATAAACAACAAATATAAGACTTCTTAAACTTCTAAGTTATTGTTCATTATAATATCAATTAATCATGAAAATCATGTCCCAAATTTTAATATAACATAAAGTGTATTCATGATATTTATTAAATACATTGCCATTTACTTGTTATGGTGTTATTCTAATAATCTCGTAGATTCGTATTAGTGCAGCATTTGATTTAGATTTTTTGAAGCCATCCAACTGTCAAGTTTCTTTTTGTACAACTATTCGCCCACAGACTTGCACTAGATAGATCATCAGCAGTACCTACTATCCAGAAATCGGAAATTCAACAGCAATTGAGTTGAAACTCCAGAGAATTCAGGGCACTCTATAATGCTATATTTCACTCGAATTAAAATGCCTTATTACTCTCTCAATTCAGATACGTTTTTTCGAGCTTCTTGTTCTAAACGACGTTTCAAGATGTTTTTTGGGTTCTCTAACGATTTGAGCTAATTGGATAAGTGTTGAATTTCTTGATCTATGTGCATGTACACAGTTTCAAATTTTTTTCAAGTTCTTCGGTCAGTGTAATGTTCAATTATGACTCATTAATTTTTCGACCAGAAAAGTCAAAAAGACGTCCCTGAAACCCCGCTACTATTATAGATTGAAAACTCGAAAAACATGATAAAAACTTTACTTCAAATGACTTTTAGTTGAATTGAAAATAATTTACACGCATGATCCCATTCTCGTTCACAAGTACAACCTTACTTACTACCAAATGTCGATTGCCTTTCTCTTTTTGTTTATCAACAAGAATACTAACAAAAGCTGTGTTTCTTACGTTCTTCTGAGTAAAGGTCTTGGCCGAACATCGATACACGACGAATTGCTATTCATCTAAGTATCTGTAAGATTAGCTATAATATAATCCAGCTTCGATTATACTTGGTCACTGAGTATATGCCCGCAATTTTGATCCATGACCGAATTCCAGCGAAGAGCCATTTTACATATCTCAGGTCTTGTACTTATGTGCAACGTAAACTGAAGTCTTACATCCATGCCTTAACATAGTCGTGATGAGCTTTTCATTGGACTTGTGATGAACTAAACATTTTCAGGAGATCTGAGAACTCTCTATCCAAGCATTAGGGTATGGGTGTTGCTCCTTTCTTCAACTTAACACTCACACCCATCCACACCCTTTTATGTGTTGAACATTGAAATTTTCTTATCGATAATGTCGTCTTCGTATCAGTTCTTATGTGAGATTTTCACTATTGTCAGTGTCATCGATAAGTTTTGTTTCGATAGGCTATGCCGTTTCGAATGTTTTGTACCATAATTTGTGAATATGTGGTTTAGAACGTTTAAATCTTTTCTCGTGCTTGTAATGAGTTATTATCTGTCTGCAACAAGGTCTTGGCACAATTGACCATAGAAATACAACTACATGCTTGTCATCATTCCGTCAGTCTACGGCCCAGTGAATCGACCTTCGATGTCGATGAACGTTATTTATGGTAGTCAGTTGCTAATATCCCATTTATGTTCTCAACATGAACAGAGTGTCTCTGTACACGTGCGCATATTTTTTATGATACATATTTATGGAAAAATTTTATTTTTTTTATCAAAAAGCCAGCTTATACTTTCAATTCCTTTTACATACTCGAGGTTATCTTTAAATTTTTGTAGAAGCGGGTGATTTGGCGATAATGAATGCTGTGCAATGTCCACAGCACGTTCCAACGACGAACATGCTTTCGCAAGGTCATTCATGTTCATGTATATTGCACCGATGTTGTGGTAAGAAATAGCCAAATCAGGATGATTCGGAGGCAGTGATTGTTGTCGGATTTTAAGGGATTTTTCGTAATACGAAAGCGCTTTCGAGTATTCACACATGCGGCGACACACCGTACCCATACTGGTACAGGAAGAAGCCAAATCAGGATGATTTGCAGGGAGTGAGTTTTGCTCGATTTCATTGGCTTTTTCGTAGTACAAAAGTGCTTTCGAGTATTCATCTATCTTTAGATACAAATTACCGATGTTGTGGTAAGAAATAGCCAAATCAGGGTGATTCGGAGGCAGTAATTGTTGTCGGATTTTGAGCGCTTTTTCATAACACGAAAGTGCTTTTGAATATTCAGCCATATTTAGACAGGCATTACCGATGTTGTGGTAGGAATTAGCCACATTACGATGGTTCAAGGGAATCCTTTTTTGTTCGATTTCAAGTGACCTCTCATAGTATGTTATTGCCTCTTTATATTCACCCTGATCATCTTTGGCACACCCAAGTTGATGGTAAATTGGTGCTTTGTCACTATCAATCGTTGCCTGATCAAGCAGAATTTCATAAATTTGTTGTGCCTTCTGGGACTGACCCATTTTAAACAGCAATGCACCCAACCTGTACCATCCTTCTGCATCTGGACGAGTTTCCTTTCGAATGTGATCAGTAAGCACACGAAGATCTTCGTCGTTATCACTAGTAAGTGTCAAATCCACCTGAAATAGACGATGATTTTCACCCATGGGTTTAATATCACGTATGCGAAAAACTGTATGCATCGAGAAGAGAATTTCTTCTTCTACTTGGAAGTGACTGATCCCGTTGACTGAGGCGAATGGTGTTGTTGTTTCAGAAGGATCAATCGTTATGATGAAGAGAACCCCCACTAGATCAGAATTGTCCTGGTTGCTGACAGCAAAGGCAAGAGAGACATCATGATCCTTACTGGTGGATAAAAAGTTATTAAAGGATATGAGTCCACCCTTTGTTTTCGTCATCTGCTCGAAATCTGCCTTAGATATACCTTGCCCACGATAGATTGTGAAGGAGTTAGCGCAAGAATGTTCATTAAGTTGTTCCGAATGAAGTCGTTCGATGTGATGATGAAGATCTTGGATGAAGAAACCCATTTTGATGATGATACCTACATCCATTAATCGAAGGGCACGATTAAGCATTGAATATAAAAAGTTTTCACGACTGTACCACCAAATCGGTGTTTGATGGAGGTATTCTCGTTCGAATTTGTTAACATTTTCTAGATCACGATCACTTTTCACGTACTGTTCACAACAGTAATCGCTAAATTCTTTGATATGTTCTTGTTTGAATTTAATTGTTAATATTATTTCCTTGAGAATTTGCGTATACATAAATGATACATCTAATTGATCCAAGTTTTCATTAGAGATATCACCATTTGTGGACACAAAGCTAATGGAGATGGAATTTTGTTCGCATTGTCGAACAGCTTGTTTGAGAGCTTCACAGATCGATGAGATCTCCGTGAATATGCCCTTGATCTTACACCAATCTTTTGCCCATCGTTCATATTTTGTTTTATTTTCACTAAAGATTAAAATGGTATCAATTTGCATGATATCATGAATTAGAGGCACAAAATTTTCACATAATGTATCAGACATTATCATTACGACTTTTTCATTGTATATTTTTGTGAGAAAATCTCTGCATTGATCAGCATCAGCAAATGTGTTGATGGTGTTGACAACATGTTGTAATTGAGTAATCATATGTTGGCAATCGGCACTGTTGTCATCAATATTGCTGTCCAACCAAATCACAAGAACATTTTGTGCCATTCTAACGTTGTCCAATCGACGAACAACTGCACTCTTAGAAGAATCAGACGCTGTTGGCTTTTGTTCGTCCATAATTTGTTGTTTCGATGAATGGAATCAAATTGTTGCAAAACAAATGCTAATGAAACAATGAAAAGAGTGTTAGCGTGAGGGTATTGGTATCTCACGTAGCGAACATCATGGTGATTCTGGCGATTTTCATAAAAATTGGCGTAAAATCGTGATTAATCGTATTTCGTACAAAAATCACTCAGCAAGGCCGCCCCCCTCTCCCCGCTTCCAAAAATTATATTAATAGAAGTTGTGCGATTATTATTGCTGCAAGATCAAATTCTGTATTACCTGTGAATAAATAGCAGACGACAGAAAAATAGAGCGTGTATGTTACTTGTACACGTTCTTTGATACTACTGCAGAACGACAACATTCGATATTATCTAACGTCAACAACAGAAGAAGAAAAAAACTATTGATGCAATATATAAGCCAATGTATAGTGAATATAGAATCTCAAATATAGATGTCATAAGAGAACAATCGATATTGATGCCGACACGATGTAGAAGGAAGGGAGTGATTTCATCAAACCTACATCAATGTATTAATTAAGAGAATATCTGAACTACTTAATATAACTTTTCGATGTGAGAAGACGAAGGGAAATAAACAGAGAATACGGGCTAAGAAAATAATGTGAATAATGATTGGATTCTTTTCTTGTGAAAATCATACACAAGAAAGTCGTGAAATTGTTGCTAGCTTATTTAGTATCATGAACGATGATATTGATGTTTTCAAAAAAAATCCATGAGCAGCACAACAGCTGTTCGATATCACGTACCATAACCTGGTGTTAAGATGCTATGATTATCTTGAGTTTCACAATGACTTTGCTTTCTATTCCTCGACTCATTTTTATCAACAGATATCAAAACAATGTCTATAACCCACGCAGCTGTGAAACGGAAAAAAATAACATTAAAATGCGGGGAGCCCTGGCCGAATGGGGTACATCTCTGACTCGAACTAGAGCGTACGAGGTTCGATTTTTCCTCCCTGAACAAAAGCATACGGTCTTAACCAGATATTGTACAAGCTTATTGGCTTTAATCTTATCGTACAAGCAATTTGTGTAGACACATCGTATATTATCTCGGTGGAATGTATGTGCAGGTTGGAAGGTCGTGTTTCAATGTTTCGTTGAATGGCCACATAAAACATGCATTATATTCCGTGTTTTGCTCTGCTATGCTTATGCTTGCTTTTCTCTCTTTGTGCAACCTGTTAATTGTAAGGTACACTGTCCCTTTAGGACCGACATGATCAGAGGGTTTTATTTCGCATAATACTAAAAATAACATTAAAATGGCTATTAAAAAGAAATAAAAATAACAATGCAAAACGGTTACACAATAATGCCTTAAAATGATTTTTGTTGCTAGTGTTAATAATTACTAGTAAATCATCAAAATTATCTCCAGTAGATTATTTCAAGTATTTCGAAAAAATCATTTTGAGTCACTTTACTTGATTAATCTGAACTTTTCTCTTCCTGTTCCTGTTCAATTAAAGAGCAATTTCTTTGTTCATTTATTCAGATGTTTCGGCAGACGTCAGTCGACCTTTTTCGATGATAATACAGCTAACCAACTGAATTATTACATATAGTCTTGTTCTTATTGTTCTTGTATTCTCTTAAATACTGACACGAGATAGGATGGTAACCTGCAGAATCAAATGACTGTTCGTCATCTTCCTCTATACCAATATCTAAAAGAATACTAGAAGAATAAGAAAAAACCATATGTAAAAATTCTGTTCGTTAATTGTATCATCATTGAAGCAGGTAGGACTGACGTCTGTCGGAGCGTCTAAATAAATGAACAATAAATTATTCACTAATTGAATAAGAAGAGAAAAATTAAAATTAACCAAGGAACTCTACTTACATGACCTTTCTTACTGATTTCAATGAATCTCGGACATTTTCTCTCTTGAGGGTAAGAGTGAAGAAGAAATTAATCAGATAGGTTACAACTAGAACATCTGTCTGCGAAATGAATCAAATTCAAACTATGTACGTTCTTGTGTTCTTTCTTCCTATCCCAGGTCGAACAAAACGCACAATCTTGAAGACGAGTATAGCTACCACATTACCAGGTAATTCGATTTGTTTTTATAGTATGGTTTGTAATTGGTATGGATTTGGTTTTTGTTTCTCGGTGTTTCTATATCGAGTATTCTTGATATAAACGGAAAAGGAGATTTGAATAGAATCCGTGTTATGGAGGCTTTCTATTGTTTTTATTTAACGTGTGAAAATGGAAAAGACGAGAAAAACATTTTTTTAATATAAATGCAACTAATGAATGTCTGAGTGTGTAGTGAGAGAGTGAGAGAGAATGAGTTTTTGAAATCTTTGAAGTGTTTTTGTTAATAAGGACAGAGTATCAATAGGTTTTCTTCTGTATCATATTGTGCTCGTTGTATGGTGTTGTTGTCACGATGGTCGATTGCTTTGATGATGTTTTCAAAAACAGTCATGAGTTGCCTAATTCGAGTTCGAATATAAATGGAGAGCTAAGTGCTTATCATAACTTAGAAAATAAATGAAAAAACGACTTTCCTGTTAAAGTAGCAAAAAAGCAAAAGAAATAATTTTATATAAATTATAATTTATAAATTCGCATGCATGTCAAACTTGAAAGTCGACTTCAATGTTCAACTATTCGAGAGAAACATTGAGGCAGACTAAGAGAGAATATGGGAGGGCTAGGCAAAGGCAAATCCCACTGAAGCGAGAATCCACTGAAGGAAAAACCCTTTGCCCGAATAACTAACCATTTATATCAGCGTCGTGGCGTGGGGACGCGCAGCGCCCCCCAAAGAGCCGCGACCCATGCACGTCTTTGTGTACACCGGCATTTCTACTCAGTGCTGCACGGTAGCTCAAGCTTCTCACATACTTCTTGTAGCATCCTAATAAATACTTGCAGCATCCAATGGCATGCTGTAGCATTCCAGGGTATGCTGTAGCATCTCATGGCATGCTGTAGCATCCCAGGTGATGATTGTAGCATCCCGGAGAATACCTACCAATGTTTGGTGATTCTGGTAGTATTCCATGGGTGCCTTCGAATTTATAAATTATAATTTATATAAAAATTTATCTTTTGCTTTTTTGCTATTTTAACATGGGTGCGATTGTTTTTTTAATTTTCCATTTATATTCGAACTCAAATTAGGCATTTACTCAAAGCAGTTGGATTTTGGTGATGTGATCTGGCTTGGAACAATTTCGTTTTTGCAGCAATTGCTATTCGCGCATAGTTTTGTACTATTTTTTCTGCTTTAGGCAATAGTTGATCGACTAAATCGCTAATAAAAGTCGTCCTTATATTGGCGTCATTGCTGAATATTTGAATCGGCGTAAAAGGTTGGTTGTTAAATAGAAGTTGAGTGCAGATGTTGTTCAGCGTTCGTAATTGTAGATTCTGAAAAGTACATGTTGTTGGCAAATGTTGAATAGACAGCCACTTTTAAACCTACAAGGGAACATTCCCAGATGTTGGAACGCTTTTCAGTCGGGGTTTCACGTATCTTGTATCCCTTAGTGAGCTGTGTCTATGGTAAAAAAAGTTCGTGCCCATGGCTTGTTTCTAGCGAGATATCGATGTTTTAATGAATTTTCTCCGTAGGACCCTACTTTTCCAGTGCAACCGTATTTTCGAATATTGACATGAAACTTTGTCCACATAAAGTCCTCAACTAGACTAGCTTGCAAAAAAATATTTAGAATTTTTCGACGAAGTCTCTTCGAGATATAGAGACTTCAAAAAATGCATTCTGTATATACTATCTGAGGAAAAGAGCCTATTTCGTGGAATCTTAATATCCTGAAGAGACTCCGTCGAAAAATTCTGAATATTTTTTTGCGAGCTAGTCTAGTTGAGGACTTTATGTGGATAAAGTTTTATGTCAAAATTCGAAAATATGTTTGCACTGGAAAAGTAGGGTCCTACGGAGAAAATTCATTAAAACATCGATATCTCGCTAGAAACAAGCCATGGGCACGAACTTTTTTTACCATAGACACAGCTCACTAAGGGATACAATATGCGCGAAATTCCGACTGAAAAGCATTCCGACACCTGGGAATGTTCCTTTGCTAGCAATCTCGTGTCGGAGTTTATGTTCATCGTGAATAGCTTTCCATATAATTCTTGCTGAATGAACCTAAGAGTATGACTTAATAGGGATGAGGTGTGGGAGTAGTTCTTTCTTTCAACCACCCACACCCACACTACGAATTCATGGTCGTTTCTGTTTTCTTTTCATACATAGTCTAATGAAATTTGCAGTTACATTATATTGAATTTGTTACCTTATCTCTTTCATAACTGACAAGAATCAATAGAAGTGGAGAAAAACGATAGACACATGNCCACACCGACACCTACGCCTACAGACATACACACCCACACCGACACCTACGCCTACAGACATACACACCCACACCGACACCTACGCCTACAGACATACCCACCCACACCGACACCTACGCCTACAGACATACACACCCACACCGACACCTACGCCTACAGACATACACACCCACACCGACACCTACGCCTACAGACATACACACCCACACCCACACCCAAACCCACACCCACACCCACACCCAAACCCACACCCACACCCACACCCAAACCCACACCCACACCCACACCCAAACCCACACCCACACCCACACCCATTCTGTATATGAATAAATTGTAGAAGCAAGAGTTTGTTTTTTGATAATCTTGATTTATCTACAGATACAAACCATTACTCAAACGTTTATAGGTTAATCTAGTCTTCAAAGAATATGTTTAATATTATTAAATATACTAAATAATAATACATTAGAAAAATATATTTAAATCTGAATTAACAGAGTTTTGCTCTTTTATTCAATATAATTATTTTGATAATGAAATTTACTTCATTTATGATTTCTTTCTTATACGCTCATATTTTTGAAAGGGCGTTCTATATAGTTCTGTATAATAGATGACATCAGTTTCGCTGTTTTAGAATCTAGTGTCTTGGAAAATGCTTCTGCCATATCATGGTATGTCAAATCATTCGATTAGTTCTTACTCAATGCCATTTCTTTCATTATACGGTGAACTTCCTAACACTGAAAAGTACATACTTATTTTAGAAGCTACCTTCTGATTATTATAGTGTGTCATAGTCACGAACGTGAGAGTAAGAATAGAAAGTTCATATGCTTAATGAAGTTTGTTATCTTGTTTTTCTGCTATTCACAGGAAAATCGCTCCTTTCACAACTTCAAGACGTCATCTCTCTTATCTTCGAATACAACACAATTATCATGATAATTTTTTAAAAGTATTGTACGCTTCGATGATCAAAAGAAAATAACCGACAACAACGAATACTAAAATTATAAAAGGATTCGAATGAAAAAGTGAACCAAGTTAACATTGTATGTGAAAGATATCATGAACAGACGAAGTATTCTGTCATTGTGATTATTCTCTTATTAATCTTTCTAACAGCATTAATAAAATTTCTTCACACAGTCATTTTATTCATTTGAAGTTCGCAAATTGTAAGTGTTGCAGTAGCAAAAAAAACTTATTAAAGAATTTTGCAAAGGCTTCACCATTGATCACTTAAATTTTTTTTGTCCATTCAAAATTTAGACAAAAACTCCTTGATTTTATGAATGTTCTCTTATTGGCGGTGTAAGTTCAAACAAAATCATGATTTTTACAAATAAAGGACGTAGCATACGTCAATATCTCAACGAATTTGTATCATGTATATTTAAACTTCGGCTCAAAAGATTCCCCATTCACTTCTCTAGAAAGACATATCGAAAGAGTATAATGACATATAAATGCAACTTATTTCGATGCTCTATCAATTGAAAGACACTTGAATAGTTGCCACCCACGTGTTCATGACGAAGCTCTTCTTTTCAGTTTTATCTCTTACTCTGTTTTGTATGACCTACCAATGAAACTAATTGTAAATATTACATCATGGAAAAAAAAGGTTAAAGTTTTCTTCGCAATTTTTTTGTCAAAGTAGAAACTAATGTACAGATCTTTTTTAGTTGTCAATTACAAGCAAAATGTAAAACGATAAGTTTTTTCAACATGTTTTTCAAGAATATCTGTCTCTATAATCATTTATTTTGCAGAGTATAAGAAAGAGCACGTTCTAAAATGTGGGCAACCTCACATAATAGAACAGCATTACGTCTCATTAGGAAAAACGAAAGGAATAATTAATTTTCTGGAAATATATATACTTTGGAAAACAGATCATGCTGGAGTATAGAAATGTTGTATGCCTAGGACAACATATTTATATATTGTCAATTTTTTTTTCGACATGGTTTTGTAGGGAATGAATGCAGAATATTTTGAGTCGAGACTACATGCATCATGCAGGCTCTAATGGACTAGAAATACTGTAAAATTAGTTCGTGTCCTTAACTTGTTTTTGCCGAGATATCGTTTTTTTACGAAATATTTTAGAGCAACACTCGAGTTCCCATCAGATTCGCCTGGAAAATCGAATATATGATGCACAGTGTTTCGATTCAGAAGTAAATAGACATCTAGGAGTGTTCTCTCGTAATCTTTAATCTGTATGAAGTAACTACATTTCATCTGTTATTCACATAGTAGTTTTATAGTAACATAAATTGACTCCTTTTTTTTTCTTTTAAATGAAACGTAAGTCGTTTATTGTTGAACTATAGCTCGGTAAGATTAGATCCATTTTCAAGCACGACATATTCTTTTCAGTATTATTTAGGAGGAGAGAAGGTTTTAACAAGGTCGCCACATCGAGTTTTTTTCTTTTTATAATACTCAGTAAGACTTCATTCCTCTTCACAAACAAATAGGCATATATATATATAGATAGATAGATATAGATTATATACATAAATACAGTGATATATATTTAGATAGATATGCCTATCGTTTCTCTGTTAATTAGTGACAATATTCATTTTGGTAGAATGAACGATTATGAAAAAAATAGTTGTAATCTTTTTCCGCATTACAAACGAACAGTTCGATCATCGTCTATAATCAGACTACACTAGATTTAGTATTTCAACAGATTGAAGGACGTCAGAGACGAACAGAAATGTATGTGAGAATTTAGTGAATGATTAAAAGAAAAATTCGGATCTGATCAAAATCTATCAACTCTTGATAGTCCAATTGTCATAAATCCTTATTCATCTTTCCGAGTAAGCATGCCATATCAGTCACATCATTGTTTAAATTATGCTCTTATACATTTGAAAAGTTCTTGAAGTTAATACAACCAAACATGTGTTTCGAAATATTTTTCGAGATGTAGATTCTTTGCATCCGATAACCGTCGTCAGTTTCGAGTGATATTTTTCAATGAGTCATCACAATTGTACTTGATCTATGTACTCATCATACATCAATGTAGAGGGGAAGATATAAAGATTCTCATCGACGATTAGGAGACTTATTTTGATGAGATCCAACAAATATAATCTATTGTGGTTAGATAAAAATGATATTTTTTTTTTCTGAAGCAAAGTTATACTCAACTAAATTTTATTGTAGTCGTCATATGTAAAATAATATTATCTCTCTTTTCAATACAGTTTCAATAATAACAATAGTTGCAAGAACTTTTCTTACATATTCAGATAAAATATAAATAGTTATATGAACTTAATTATTCTTCAAATACTTCCCCCATAATAATCTCATTTATGTTTGAATGATAACTATTATTAGACGGCCATGAAACAAAAGAATGTTAAAAATTGTTGCATTATAATAGGATTATTTTGATCATAATCCATAAGTAATCGATGTAATCATATGAAAATGCAACAATAATTACGACTATTTTTTATCTAGAATACAGAGCTGTCATTGACTTCTCGACATCAATTTAATAATAATTGATGTAAAAGTAATACTTAGGTAAAAGTCTGAATATTGGATAATGACAGAAGCCGAGTGATCGAAAGTCAAGTTCTATAGAGTTTCCTTTGCCAAGCAGTCAACATTGCTTTTTCCATAAGTCTTCTCGCTCCGAGTAGTTGAACATTATTTAGGATAAAGGGCTTAGAAACTACATTTGATCGAAGGAGCCAACCGAAATTCGGCAATCGATTTCACAATTTTTTCAATAAGTCTATTATCACCAAATGATCAAATATCTGATCGGATTCGAGAGCTAGAATATAACTCAAGAAGACAAAATGATAAGACGACGGACAGGATCCCATTTTATGAATTCTCAATATGGAAAGTCTCGATGATTAAAAATTTGATATGAGAAGTCGATTTCAGTTTGTATCATTTTTTCCTAACACATTCAATGCATCTCTTTCATACATTTTCAGATTTTCTTGAATACTATTACTTTCTCACGTATTTAAGTATCTTAAGAATGTTAATTAATAGTTAGTTTCTTTCTACTGCAATTGATTGAGAACTTCGTAGCATAATTTGAAAGCACAATGTCAACTGCTTTCGTATGATTATAAAACTGAACCTTTCATGACATTTAAAATCACTTTTTTGTCGAAAAAACGATGTTAAACATGACTATTAATGAATAGTGAAATTTAGAGCGAGAATCTTGAATTTTTCCTGTTATCATTACAGACAAGCTCCACTCAGAAGTAGTCCTTAGCATGAAGAAGAGCGAATGTTAGCCTTTTTTATTTACCGAATTCCTTTTAGTGTTTTGAATTTTGGAACCAAATATAATGAGTTATCGAAAATATCAAAAAGTTTAAACAAATTTTAAAAAATCAAAATCCATTTTTTTTTCATTTGTCTTTCTTCTATCATTCTTGTGTATAGACTGAGACAAATATGTTGACATGTTTCACTCGACATCTCTAAGATGGTCATAAAACATAGTTTCATACCACAAAAGAGATCTACAAGATTTTCGTGTACAATAAAAATAGTTTAATTATATTTCATGTTGTAACCTCATAGGAGTTGCGCTGACCCTTTTTTCGATATACTCCTTGGACTCGATAAGACTTCTTAAAAGGACAAAATTTATTTCTTTTTAACTTTGATCATTAAGAACAAGCTTTATTTAGAATCAAGCAAATATCAGCAACACTAATGAGGAAGTGAGTAACAGAATTGGACTAATGAACACTCATGAAGTCATTTTTTTTTCAAGAGAAAGAACAAATAAAAAAGGAAATTTAACAACTCACAAATTAAAAAGTTTTTTTTGCTCTCTTTGCCAAGAAGTTCACCATATTATAAATAATTTGACTATAGGTCGGAAGTGAAGAAGCATAGCATAATTTTATCGAATAATTTATATTTCAGTCGCTGTTCTGTTCTTGTTGAAATCAGAGTAATAATTCACCAAAAAAATACATACGTTTTATCTATAATTTCTATTATAACAATCTGTTGCCGGATAGAAATTGAAAACAGTAAGAGAAGATAGCAATTTCTCTTGGAAAATTTCATTTTCATACAAATTCCATATTTTTTTTTAGGTAGTTAAGATTCATCATAGATGCAAATCATATCTTTAAGAGAGACATTTATTTATCAAATGTTACATAAAATGATTTTTGATTTGAAGTGACCATTATAGATTTCATTTATCTTCTAATAAGTTTAATGATGAGAATGATCATCCCCAAATATCAAACTCGAAAAGTTTACCAGAAATTGCATACGCATTAGTGCTATTTTATTAAATAGAATATTTTTAGTTTCATACAATTCTCATTATTATATACGCATGAGTTTCCACTAAGTCACTTTATTTTTTTTTATTTTTTTTTGTAGTTTATCGATTATAAAAATATATTCAATTAAAATGAGTGCATCACTAAATGATGTTCGTATCTGGATGACACGGTATGGCATGAGTAGTTATTTTACACTTGGTGTACTTGGTAATCTGATCAATGTATTTATGTTTACACGAAAAAATCCTTTATGCAATTCATGTAGTCTGTATCTTCTCGCAATATCAATTTCGCATATTTTTACTGCTAATTTGGGCGTCGTTCCAACCATATACAATTTAGATCACGTAGATCTGGCTACATATTCATTTATTTACTGCAAACTTCGTCTTTATATTATGCATAGTTCTATTATGATCGGTCGAACATTGATAGTAGCTGCATGCATTGATCGATATGCACTGTGTTCAAACTACCAACGATTTCGTTCACTAAACAATCCAAAAGTGGCACTTCGAATTATTATTGTAATTGTAATTGCATGGCTCTGTATCAATATATATATACCATTTGTGACGGCATTCACTGAAAATAATTGTCTTATGCTTGGTTCAACTGCTCTGATATGGGCTATTTATACTGTTGCAGTACCAGGTATTCTTACGCCAGTATTAATGAGCACATTTGGCTTATTGGCTATTCGAAATCGTTGGTAGTTTGAACACAGTGCATATCGATCAATGCATGCAGCTACTATCAATGTTCGACCGATCATAATAGAACTATGCATAATATAAAGACGAAGTTTGCAGTAAATAAATGAATATGTAGCCAGATCTACGTGATCTAAATTGNGAGCTGGTCCTTCTAGTCTAACTGGATTAGGACATCTGCCCGGATAGCAGAAGGTGTGGGTTCGATCCCCACGAAGGTCACTTTTTCTCCGTTCTGTTTCTTTCCTTTCCTTTCCTTTTCTTTCCTCCGAGCCAGGCTAACAAGCACTCTCTGCTTTTTCCATGATCCAAGTACCTTGCGTCGTAGAAAAAGAATCTGTTCAAAAACGAGATTTTGTGATGGAGCACATAAATTATTTTGACTTTCCTTGTTTCAATTGCTCTCTTCTATTTCTTTTCTTGTTCTCTTTATTAAGTAGTATTGAGAAACCAAGATACGCTTGCGCTTATCGGATGTTGCATAGATTTTATTTATCGAAATTCGAGAAAATAAAAACAATCTTTAAAAATCGAAACAAAATCTAGTAATTCAAAATTCGCTTTCTGTTTACATAGCTCTGCTTGGTTGAGTGAATTCTATATTTTAGTTCTATTCGAACTTGTGTTAAGATGCTATTTTGAATGTCTTCAATATTACATTGTACTCAAAACTATGGACAAATGAAGCTAGCTCGAGTTGTTTGTGTAATATTTTTCTTCATAGATAAATTTACGACAATGTTTAATTCTACTTTTTTTGTCAAGAAATATAACGGTGAGCATTTCAATAACACATGATTGATAAATTCATTTTATTATAAGAAATTTTGTGTTCTTTTTTGACATGTACGGAGTAGGGATATTGAATTAGAATGATAATCAGTATGATATTATTTGACATTGTATTCTAGTTACATTGTATTTTTATTTTCCATATCGCCTTCATTTTTTATGTTACTTGGTTCTGTGTCTATTCCTATGTTCTTAAAGTAGATTACATCATTTTTGAGAATAATTGAATGCCATAAATGAGATTTTACTGGCTCAGTTTTGGTCATTCTGTATATGAATAAATTGTAGAAGCACGAGTTTTTTTTTTGATAATCTTGATTTATCTACAGATAAAAAATATTGCTCAAACGTTTCTACAAAAGAATTCATTTTAGATACGTTTATAGGTTTATCTAATCTTCAAAGAATATGTTTAATATTACTAAATATACTAAATAATGATAGATTAGGAAAATATATTTAAATCTGAATTAACAGAGTTTTGCTTTTTTATTCAATATTATTATTTTGATAATGAAATTCACTTCATTTATGATTTATTTTTTATACGCTCATATTTTTGAAAGAGCGTTCTATATAGTTCTGTATAATAGATGACATCAGTTTCGCTGCTTTAGAATCTAGTGTCTTGGAAAATGCTTCTTCCATATCATGGTATGTCAAATCATTCGATTAGTTCTTATTCAATGTAATTTCTTTCATTATACGGTGAACTCACTAACACTGAAAAGTACATACTTATTTTAGAAGCTACCTTTTAATTATTATAATGTGTCATATTCACGGACGTGAGAGTAAGAATAAAAAGTTCATATGCTTAATGAAGTTTGTTATCTTGTTTTTCTGCTATTCACAGGAAAATTGCTCCTTTCACAATTTGAATACGTCATCTCTCTTATCTTCAAATGCAATACAATTAAAATGATAATTTTTTAAGGGTACTGTACGCTTCGATAAATCAAAAGAAAATAACTGACAACGACGAATACTAAAATTGTAAAAGGATTCGAATGAAAAGGTGAACCAAGTTAACATTGTATGTGAAAGATATCATGAACAGACGGAGTATTCTGTCATTGCGATTATTCCCGTATTGATCTTTCTAACAACATAAATAAAATTTCGTCATATAGTCATTTTATTCATTTCAAGCTCTCAAATTGGATATGTTGCAGTAACAAAAAAACAACTTATTAAAGAATTTTGCAAAGGCTTCACCATTGATCACTTTAATTTTTTTTATCTATTCAAAATTTAGACGAAAACTCCTCGATTTTATGAATGTCTTCTTATTTACGGTGTAAGTTCAAACAAAATCATGATTTTTACAAATAAAGGGTGTAGCATAAATAATGACATCATCAGTGTTTCATCAATATTTTAACGAAATTTGTATCGTGTATATTTGAACTTCGGCTCAAAAGATTCCTCACTCTCTTCTCTAGAAAGACATATCGAAAGAGCATAATGATATATAAATGTAATTTATTTCGATGCTCTATCAATTGAAAGACACTTGAATAGTTGCCACCCACATGTTCATGACGAAGTTATCTCTTAATCTGTTTTGTATGGTCTATCAATGAAACTAATTGTAAATATTGCATCATGAAAAGAAAGCTTAAAGTTTTCTTCGCAATTTTTTGTCAAAGTAAAAACTAATGTACAGATATTTTTTAGTTGCCAATAACAAGCAAGATGTAAAACGGTAAGTTTTTCCAACATGTTTTTCAGGAATATCTGTCTCTCGAATAATTTATTTTGCAGAGTATAAAAAAGAGCACGTTCTAAAACGCAGGAAACCTCACATAATAAAACAGCATTATGTCTCATTAGGAAAAACGAAAGGAATAATTAATTTTCTGGAAATATATATACTTTAGAAAGCAGATTATTCTGGAGTATAGAAATATTGCATGCCTAGGACAACATACTTATATATTGTCAATTTTTTTTCGACATGGTTTTGTATGGAATGAACGCAAAATCTTTTGAGCCGAGACTAGATGCATCATGCAGGCTCTAATGGACTAGAAATACTGTAAAATTAGTTCGTGTTCTTAACTTGTTTTTACCAAAATATCGTTTTTTACGAAATGTTTTAGAACTACACTCGAGTTCACATCAGGTTCGCCTGGAAAATCGATTATATGATGCACAGTGTTTCAATTCAGAAGTAAATAGACATCTAGGAGTGTTCTCTCGTAATCTTTAATCTGTATGAAGTAATTACATTTCATCTGTTATTCACATAGTAGGTTTATAGTAACATAGTTTGACTACTTTTTTTTCTTTTGAATGAAACGCAAGTCGTTTATTGTTGAACTATAGCTCGGTAAGATTAGATCCATTTTCAAGCACGACACATTCTGTTCAGTATTATTTAGGATGAGAGAAGGTTTTAACAAGGTCACCACATCGAGTTTTTTCTCTTCATAATACTCAGTAAGACGTCATTCCTCCTTCAAAACAAATAGGCAAATATATATATATAGATTATATACAAAGATACAGTGATATATGTTTAGATAGATATGCTTGTCGTTCCTCTGTTAATTAGTGACAATATTAATTTTGGTAGAATGAACGATTATGAAAAAAATAGTTGTAGCCTTTTTCCGCATTACAAACAAACAGTTCGATCATCGTCAATAATCAAACTACACTAGATTTAGTATTTTAACAGATTGAAAGACGTCAGAGACGGACAGAAATGTATGTGAGAAATTAGTGAATGATTAAAAGAAAAATTCGGATCTGATCAAAACCTTTCAACTCTTGACAGTTCAATTGTCATGGATCCATATTTATCTTTCCGAGTAACCATGTCATATCAGTCACATCATTGTTTACTTCACTTTTCTCAATTATCAAATTTCTTCAAATAATTGTCTCTGTCAAGTTATGAATAGATTTAAAAAACGATGCTCTTATGTATTTGAAAAGTTCTTGAAGTTTATACAACCGAACATGTCTTTCGCAATATTTTTCGAGATGAAGATTCTTTGCATTCGATAACCATCGTCGACACAAATCGATAGTTCCGAGTGATATTTTTCAATGAGTCATCATAATTGTACTTGATCTATGGACTCATCTTACATCAATATAGAGGATAAGATTTAAAGATTCTCATCGATGATTAAGAGACTTATTTCGATGAGAGCCAACAAATATAATCTATTGTGGTTAGATAAAAATGATATTTTTTTCTGAAGCAAAGTTATACTCAACTAAATTTTATTGTAGTCGTCATATGTAAAATAATATTATCTCTCGTTTCAATACCGTTTCAATAATTGCAAGAACTTTTCTTGCATATTCTGGTAAAATATAAATAGTTATATAAACTTAATTATTCTTTAAATACTTCACCCATAATAATCTCATTTGTGTTTGAATAATAACTATTATTAGACGGCCGTGAAACAAAAGAATGTTAAAAATTGTTGCATTATAATAGGATTATATTGATCATCATCCATAAGTAATTGATGTAATCATATGAAAATGCAACAATAATTACGACTATTTTTATCTAGAATACAGCTGTCATTGACTTCTCGACATCTATTTAATAATAATTGATGTAAAAGTAATACTTAGGTAAAAGTCTGAACATTGGATAATGGCAGAAACCGAGTGATCGAAAGTCAAATTCTATAGAGATTTCTTTGCCAAGTAGTCAACATTGCTTTTTTCATAAGTCTTCTCGCTCCGAGTAGTTGAAAATTATATAGGATAAAGGGCTCAGAAACTACATTTGATCGGAGGAGCCAACGGGAATTCGACAATCGATTTCACAATTGTTTCAATAGATCTAATATCACCGAATGATCAAATATCTGATCGAATTCGAGAGCTAGAATATAACTCGAGCAGACAAAACGATAAGATGGACAGGATCTCATTTTATGAATTTTCAATATGGAAAGTCTCAATGATTAAAAATTTGATATGAGAAGTCGATTTCCGTTTGTATCATTTTTTCCTAACACATTCAATACATTTCTCTCATACATTTTCAGATTTTCTTGGATACTATTACTTTCTCACGTATTTAAGTATCTTAAGAATGTTAATTAACAGTTAGTTTCTTTCTAATACAATTGATTGAGAACTTCGTAGTATAATTTGAAAGCGTAATGTCAAACATGACTATTAATGAATAGTGAAATTTAGAGCGAGAATCTTGAACTTCTCATGTCATCATTACAGGCAAGCTCCACTCAGAAGTAGTTCTTAGCATCAAGAAGAGCGAATGTTAATCTTTTTTATTTACCGGATTTCTTTTAGTCTTTTGAATTTTGGAACCAAATATAATGACTTATCGAAAATATCAAAAAGTTTAAACAAATCGAAAAAAATCAAAATCCAATTTTTTCCCATTTGTCTTTCTTCTATCATTCTTGTGTATAGACTGAGACAGATATATTGACATGTACCACTCGACATCTCTAAGATGGTCACAGAACATAGTTTCGTATAACAAAAGAGATCTACAAGATTTTTGTGTACAATAAAAATAGTTTAATTATATTTCATATTGTAAATTCATAGGAGTTGCGCTGACCCTTTTTTTGATCTACTGCTTTGACTCGATAAGACTTCTTAAAAGAACAAAATTTCTTTCTTTTTTACTTTGATCATTAAGAAAAAGCTTTATTTAGAATCAAGCAAAATATCAGCAAGAATAATTAGGAAGTGAGTAACAGAATTGAACTAATGAACACTCATAAAGTCATTTTTTTTCAAGAGAACGAAGCAATAAAACAGAAAATTTAACAACTCACAAATTAGAGAGTTTTTTTGCTCTCTTTGCCAAGAAGTTCGCCATATTATTAATAATTTGACTACAGGTCGGAAGTGAAGAAGCATAGCATAAGTTTATCGAATAATTTATCTTTCAGTCGCTATTCTGTTCTTATTGAAATCAGAGTAGTAATTCACCAAAAATACACACGTTTTATCTATAATTTCTATTATAACAATCTGTTGCCGGATAGAAATTGAAAACAGTGAGAGAAGATAACAATTTCTCCTGGAAAATTTCATTTTCATACAAATTCCATATTTTTTTTTAGGTAGTTAAGATTCATCATAAATTCAAATCATATCTTTAAGAGAGATATTTATTTATCAAATGTTATATAAAATGATTATGATTTGAAGTGACCATTATAGATTTCATGTATTTTCTGATAAGTTTAATGATGAGAATGATCATCCCCAAATATCAAACTCGACAAGTTTACCAGAAATTGCATACGCATTAGTATATTTTTAGTTTCATACAGTTCTCATTATTATATACGCATGAGTTTCCACTAAGTTACTTTATTTTATTTTTTTTTGTAGTTTATCGATTATAAAACTATATTCAATTAAAATGAGTGCATCACTAAATGATGTTCGTATCTGGATGACACGGTATGGCATGAGTAGTTATTTTACACTTGGTGTACTTGGTAATCTGATCAATGTATTTATGTTTTCACGAAAAAATCCTTTATACAATTCATGCAGTCTGTATCTTCTCGCAATATCAATTTCGCATATTTTCACTGCTAATTTGTGCGTCGTTCCAATCATATACAATGTAGATCACATAGATCTGGCTACATATTCATTTATTTTCTGCAAACTTCGTCTGTATATTCAACACAGTTCTATTATGATTGGTCGAACATTGCTAGTAGCTGGATGTATTGATCGATATGCACTATGTTCAAATTACCAACGATTTCGTTCACTAAACAATCCAAAAGTGGCACTTCGAATTATTATTGTAATTGTAATTGCATGGCTCTGTATCAATATATATATTCCATTTGTGATGACATTCACTGGAAATAATTGTCTTATGCTTGGTTCAACTGCTCTGATATGGGCTATTTATACTGTTGTAGTTCCAGGTATTCTTACGCCAGTATTAATGAGCACATTTGGTTTATTGGCTATTCGAAATCGTCGTCGATTACAGGGGCGACTCAATGGCAATAGAAATTATGGTAACAAACGTGACTATACACTTACGGTTATGTTGTTGAGTGAAGTATTGGTTTATATCTTATCGACAAGTTTCTTTCCAACAACAACTCTCTACAAAGCGGTTACAACTAATGTAGTCAAAAGTGTTCAAAGGCAACGAATCGAAAATTTCGTCATATTTTTGGGCAGTAACTTTCTACTATTTATTAATCCATCTGCAACATTCTATATCTTTATTATAGCTTCACGTAGCTATCGACAGGAATGCAAGAGAGTATTCTTAGGTTTATACATGCGTCTAACTAGACGTATGAATAAAGTAGCGACAATAGCAACAACAAACACATTGGTAGATCGACATAATGAGACGCATATCTAAAACATTGTATTTCCACATTAATATATAAAAGAGACTTTATTTACTTGCACAAACACAATTATCATATTTTAATGCATGCACACATGTTTTCTTGCTTTCGATGTATCTATAATACAAATAAAGATTCAGTCTATCAAGTGAACACCATTCAGATTGCTTTTATTTTCAATGCCGATAATGATGACATTTCTCTACAGGAATTCTTTGCTTTCACATCAAAGAACTGTCTAGCAACGAAGAGATAAGCAATAAAACTGTACCAGTGTACAAGCATCTACAAGAATGTCGAGACTTGTTATGTTGAAATACATGGTGTTAGAAGCCACATATTTTCATTTACGGATAGAACAAAATTCAGGCTTCAAAATTATTTTTTTTTCGAAAATCTTTCAGTGCAAGCCCAACGACATTTAAAAGTGAAACAAAATAGAGGCACTTTCATCATGAATAAGGACTTTCTCTAAATTATGCATAATCTACCACATGGCTCAGAAAACATCATTTGCAAGTGTCGGTCATCATTTGTGACAGCAGTGCCTAAAGGCTACTTCGATGATAGAGAACGGTTTTATAAAACAGCAAAGAACCAGAATGGTATGGAAAAAAAGTCATTAAACAATGGCAAAAAAAAACAATCGGATCAGATGAAATTTTAAATCGATAATCTATACAAATTGTTTTTGAGTCGATTCTATTATCTCACTCAACATGATTTATATTTTCCCATGCATTTCAATCGAAGTTCAATGACTTTCATTGGCTCACACTATTGGTTTCATGTTTCATTTGTTTCACATGACAGAAAGAAATTGTATTTCTCTAGGGAACCTTTTACTCAGTGCAATTTTCACAGAACTATCGAATTAACTAGGGTGTGGGTGTGGGTTTCAGTGCAAAGAACATTCGCACACCCACACCCTTAAAGTATATGATTCGTTTTCTTTCGAACATTCTGTCTGATAATAATTGTATCATTTTTTGCAATATGTCGCTTTCTGTCCCGTTACCTACNTTCTGTAATCTGTTTATATGAATCGCTGTACAATAGTATGCTGTCAATATGAAGAAATAATTGGTAAGGATTCTAGTGGACAAATATCGTGAACATACTGGTTACTTCTAAGTGTTTAATAAATTTGATGCATCTCCGATAACAAGATTGAGAATGATGAACACATAACTCTACAATCATTTTCACACTTAATTATGTTAACCATACTGTTTCCTGAATTTTAGACACAACAAAATATGTCGTGAATTGAGGAAAAAACAAACAAAATTCATAACAAACTTAAATATATAATTGTTTAAAATCGAGAATATTTTTCAGACTTATTATTATCAAAGAAAAGAAAATGTTCAGTTAAGAAGTGCATGCACACTCAGACTACGTACAATGTTAATTCTATGAGAATTAATAAGTTAAAGATAGAAGACAGAAAAAAAATGAAGTGATAAATATTTTTTTCCATGCTGCATTAATTTGATTACTGGAAGAATAAAACATAGCAACAGATACAAAAAAATATTAGTAGTTATTTACTTTATAAGTAAAAAGGCTTCTTAAGCTAGAAACATAAATTCAAATATTCATTAGGCTTGCTCATAAAATAACTCATCTGAACGTGCTTCCTAATGTATGTGAAATAGCTTCATCAAAGAAACCCTGGTTAAATACATGAAACGATGCTTTGAATAACATTAATTGCAGAGACATTGTCATGCTCCAACATGAACATGTTCAAAAGATGCTTTTTTAGATGAGATTTCTAGTTGAGTAAACGTATTGCAAAATTATAAGTATTTTTTTTTTATAATGACGACCTTCTATATTCCTTGTCTATTTGGACGTTTTAATAATTTTATGTAGAGGCTAGTGAAACTGTCTAAATTAATAGGAAATTAGATAGATAAGAGCTTCAGAATTATTTTAAGATCCGTAATTTATTGTGTCAGAAGACTTTTTAATCTTTATCAATGTTCCAATTATTCATATATTTATTGTAATGTATGCTAAATAGATTTTGTAATATGATTATTTGATTTAGTTATAGCAAAGAATACAGTAAATACTTTCTTTGAAAATTAAATTATAAAATATATTTTTATTCATATTGAAATGAGTCTCTTACAAATCTATTTCTTGCTCTGTCTTTTTCAGTCATTATAGTGTTCATCCAGAAATCTATCTACTTGTTTCTAATCTTTCTAGTGCCTCTTTTTTTTTGTTATTCGTAACACATCTAATGAAATTATTATGATGTGGACGTCCAATAGAAAGACTTTTATCAATATTGAATAACAGATATTCATTCCTTATTTCCTATTATCTTTCATATAACTGTTAGAATAAACTTTTCACACTTACCGTGCATTGCGACCTTTGGTTTTTTTTTCTAATTAGTTTTACTGATGCTATAATTTTCTTTCGTTGCATTAATATATTGTTCATTATTTCAATGTTTGAATATCCGCGAATAGCGAGATTCTATTTAGATTAAAGACTTCCTCCATCATCAGTGAAGGATCACTAGATAAATCTTTAAAGCACATGCTAGATAGAATACTCTCACATTTGTCTTTTGATTAGAATTTTCTATTATAAATGCATTAAACAACTCATTAAAGCATATTAAAGAAAATATTTTAACGAGATTTAGTTCTATTGTGCGTGACTTATTCATTTGATGCGTTTCTTTCTTTATGCTCAGTATTTCAAAAGGTAAACTCAACTTTATTTCTTCTATTATCAGCAATTATAATATGAATTCATCTACACCAAACTTTGAACCATGGTTTATTCCAATTGATGTTTTAAATATTGTATGTGATGTTACAGTCATAGGACTCTGTGTTATTTATTCATTTCTAATAATTCTTGACAATACTTGTCATACTGTACCAATGATGTTAGTTGCTAATTCATGTTTAAGTACATTTTTATCAGGATGTGCTCTGCTTAGTATGCATTTAAAAACATTTGAAAATGATCTTAAACAAATTTATTATCAAGATTTATTATGTGTTGTTCGGGCATATATTGGTTATGTCGCATGTGCTCTATGTAATAATTCATTTTTGTTACAAGCTGCTTATCGATATTTAAAAATTGTTCATCCAGCTCGTTTATATTTTCAATCATATCGTTTTTATTTTTTATTAATCTGTTTAATATGGATATTAAGTTTATTATTTCCTGCTCCATTTGTATTCACTAGTGAAACTCTTTACAATTTAGACAATCAAATATGTCAAATATATCTTCGACTTTCAGTTTCAGTAATAATGGTAGCATTATGCGTTTATGTAGTACCAATTACATTGATTACATTTATTTATTTTATGCTAGTTCAATATGTTCATAAAATGAGTAGTCATGTTGCAGCTGCTAATACTTTATTTCACGCAAAGAGAGAATTAAAAATGGTTAAACGTACAGTTCTATTAACAACTATATTAGTTATGGTTGGTTTTCCTTATGCATTATTTATTTTAATGTCATTTTTTACAACACTACCAAAATATCATTTTCGAATAGCTTATGTATTTGTTGATGTATCAATGGTATTTGTAATGTTAACTTTATATCAGTTTACTGAACCACTGAAAACATCGATGATGAAAAGAATACGTAGACAAATAAATATAGCAAGAACAATTGCATAAAAATATATTTTGAAAATTCATTTATTAGTGTCTTTTGTTTTTTTCTTAAAGTTTAACTCTTAATTGCATCAGGTTGATTATAATTGATATGCTACTTTTAGCTTTTGTTATATCTAACAGTAATGAATTTCAGGTTATTGTCTGAGAATTTTTCTTTCATTTAAAAATAATTTAATTGTTCTCGAAAAATGTCATTATTCAGTTTTACCTGTTCCGAGGAATAATACATGCTAATTATGAAGAGTACCTTCGTTAGGAATTACATACGATAATATAACTACTAGATTTTCTACCACACACTGAGTTCTCACAGAGCTCCAACAAAATTTTTCAACATGAAAAGAAGATTGAAGGCTATGTGCATGATTTTCACATATACTGATATATTGTTTTTTGATATTTAAAATTGTGAATGAAGAAAAAAGAATAATATAATATAGAAATTTGAAAGTGAAAAAATGAAAAGAATGTATATTTTATATTGGTGGTTCGCAATGAGAATCGCCTGTATTGTTATTAAAGTAATAAAATCGTTCTTCTCTTTTACTCCACTTTTTTATCCATCCAACAGATAATGTTATGCCTGAATCCGGTTCAACTATTGATGATTTAGGTCGACGTTGAACCGTAATATATTCATGTGCTTTTTGCCATTCTTCTTCAGTTATCACAGAATGAATCTATGAAAAAGAAAGCATAGAAGTTATATAAACAAATAAATTCTGAAAAATTATAGTTTACCAAACTTGTCCATCCTTTTCATGATCAATGTACCATAAGCGTTTATTTAATGCTTGTATTTCTCTTTGTGATAAACGTTGACTTGTATCAGCCAAATGTTCTTGAAATCGTGGTACAGTTAAACATTTCAAAGGTACTAGAGGGTGTGGGTGTGGGGTGTGGATGTGAGTGTGGGTGTTGGTGGATGTCGGTGTGGGTATCTGCGTGCGTTAAAAGAAGCAAAGCCACGCCCTATCATCAAATTCAGTCATAGATTTTAGTTTGCGATGCTGAGATTATTTTCACGTCATTCGAACAATAAAATGTGAATGAAAACAGAGACATGGTTCATGCGTTCGAGAGTGTGATTAAAGAAGAGACAAACATTCACACACACCCGATATCCCTACTGCAATTTGCACCACTATAAGATAAATGAGGATTTTAGCATTCGTGACTACCCTAAGTCATGATATTCATGAACCACGCTGAGCACTAACTCTCACCAATATTTTCATGTTGTCGCAATGAAAATATATTAAACACAAGCCGAACACCTGCATACATAAAATAAAAACGATTCAAAATGAGAAAATCACAATAAAAAAAAAGCTTAACGACAATGAACAATTAAACTGGATAGAGATACGATCTTGCAGTAAACAGTATTCTAAATAACAATGATATGTACTAAAGAAGAAGAAACATGTGATGGTGCAAGAATCTGCTAGAGAAATACAATATGACCTTCTTAGTTCGACATATTTAAAAAAGTGATTAAAAGTTATTTCTTCAGGCAAAGAGAAGTACCTTTTTGTCAAGAAAATCAATTACTTTTTCGAATTCTTCATCAATATCACTCTTAGTAAAAAATATTTTATTAATATCGGAAAAAATTCCTTTGTTAAAACAACTAGTGCTCAACAACAAATCAAAAATATATTCTTCACTCTTCCAAAGCTGATGTTCGTCACAATCTAAGATATTATCGATAAGTGAAATCCTTTGGTGCACTTCTAACAAAGATATCATATTATTATTGGCAAGATATTTCAATATCCATAAAGCACTTTTGAATTTTCTATCATACATTTTCAAATCTAAAACTTGAAACAATTCGTCAATCAAATTTCGATCAACCTCTTGGAGAAAGCTCAAATTTGGACCTTTTTCAATGTCAAAAAGAAAATAATCTGTATATTCTTCGCACATTTCTACTAAATCAATTGTGAGTGTACCAAAACTTGCATAAAGATTTATTAATGGTTCACTGTCATGTGGATACTTTTTACAACAGAGATAGAGTTCTCTTTTGAACTTTTTTTCACCAAAAAAACTTCTTTGAATAGAATTTCGAAATTCATTCAAATTGCTAATACTGATATCTCCTGCTATGCCGATATAACTAGGCGTAGGGTCAGAAAGATAATCAAGTTTATCTCTGTTACACAAATAATTGTATAGATCAATGACAAATAAATCAATAAGTTCTGTAGAATGTGATTTTAAGTTATCAATTATTTCATCAACAAATATGGTACGTGACGAATCCTTCATACAATATAATGTTTTTTGTAACAATATTTTATATCGCTTTTCCGATGTCATATTTGACTTGTTTCTAAACCACTTCAATACTGTCAGACAGGTTATATCTGAAGATTCGATAAACAATAAACAGAAATGAGCTCTGATAGAAATGATTTCTGATGACGATCTTTCAGAAATACTAGTAAGAATATTTTTCATCGCATCTGACATATTTCGACTTATTTCTAATTCATGATATTGAATTAAAAAATTACCATAAGCCAGTAAACAAACAGCTAAAACATCTTCTGAACTTGTGTACGAAAAATAAATCATTTTCTCCAACTCAGTAATTATATCATTCTGTAAAAATATCCTCTCATTTTCTGAAAAGAAATGATTATATTCTCCATTAAGAGCATTAACAATTACTTTGTAAACTAGAGGATATTGTTTAAGATCTGGTATTGTAATAATGTATTTGTATAATTCTATCAAAAAATCATCGTTACTATACGAAGTTATAGCTTTATTCATCCATTTGATAACAAAAGCAAAATATTCATCTTTGATAGCATTTTCTAATTCAGATTGAAAATTTAAATACGAGCGAAAATTTTCTACAAGATAAAAATTCAAATCTCCTGAGCAAAAACGAATCATCGATAAAAATGAATTAAATGAAATTTTAGATGATTCATGTACATTTGAAATAACTCTTTTTAGTTCTAAATCGAGAAATAATGCAAACATTTCTTTACAAGAAATCGAAACAGAAAAGTTCGAATAACAATGAACATTTTCATGTAATGTAATTAAAATTTGACGAACGATACTTGAATTAACAAGTGAAGAGTTAATTAACTTTTCTATAATTGATTCCCAAATAAATTTATTATCCATATAGAACATTTCATTTATAATATCGATCAAATCTGGAATATTTGAATCTTCAATAAATAATTGTAATGCAGCATAGTGTGCAAAAACCTTCAGGACTTTATTCATTCGATAGTCGAGCCATTTTTCAATCACTGTCAGAGCTTTTCTTTCAATGATTGAGCACTTACAAATATCTCGTATGATCAGATGAAGATCTTGTTTATTTAACATATGCAAATTATTCGTAATCGATGTTGCAAGCTTGTATGTCATAATTTTCCCATCTTTTGATGATTCATCCCAAAATAGTTTCAGTGCTTTCAAAGGTAAAATATCCCTTTTCTGATTATCTCTTACATACATCCTGAGAATTTCAGTATCAAAAATCAATTCAAACAGATACATCAACGATAGAAGAACATTATTTGATGAAATAAATGATGTTGTTTTATTAAAATGATGATAAAATATCGTTGAATTCAATTGAAGCAAATCAGATAAATTGTGTTTTCGTTTAGTAAACTCTGATAAACAATGTGAAAGATTTGAATTTTTGAGTTGTCTCAATGCAATGAATACTGCTTCTCCAATTCGACTTTGTTCATTAAGTAACTCATCATTAAATTTTTCAGCGATTACACGAGTCATTTGTTGAGAACATAAAGTGTAACATCGGGTATATAAAACAGTTCCTGTTAGTAATGAGACTTGTGGGAGCAGAGTCTGTAATTCAGTAACCATTGTAGATTGCAGTTGATCTCTTTGTTCTTCATCAAAGATTAATGGATCTTTCATATCTAATATAAAGCTTAAAGCAAAGATTCTTAAAACTCGATCATGTATATTTGTTACTGTAAAATATATTACTGTGCTCTCCGTAGAATCGATAAGAAAAGTATTTTTTGAATGGTATGTATGACAGTGATGTTGAGCTTGTAAAAGTCGAGCAAGAGAGATGGATGCAGCAAAAAGTCGTAAATCTTTCTGTTGACTTTGAATTGATTCTTTTGCTTCATAAATACGCTGACGTTCTACACTGATGAGTATTGCCAAATTATCTGATTGATTGATAAGAAATGGGTCAAGTAGTTTATGATGTTGTATCATTTTCCATAATTTATTGCAATCTTTATCTATGATTGACGTCAACTGAGAACATTTTTCTTTGTAAAATATTAAAGCATAGTTTTCCAACATGTATTCTTTCAATAAAGAATACAACATTATCAAGGCGAGATATATATCAAAATCAATCTTTTCAAAGTGCTCCAAATGGAGTAAGCATTCGGATAAGAACATAACTAGTGATAATGAATTGATATTATTAGTTGGTGATATGATTGCATTGTAATACAATTGTTGTAGAGATTGTGGTAGTATATTAAGCAAGAACAATAGTTTTCTGTGTAATGTTTGTTGTGAATCAATATTATTTATCATCTCATCTAGATTTTGTTTGTTAATCACATGAGTGAATGGTGATTGATATTGAAAATATTCGTTATCCTCATTGTCATAAGAATCGTCTGTGTCAATCCATATAGTTTGATTCTGTATACCAAGTTTTCTCCATGCCGATGCACATGCAATTAATAATGATATTTGCTCTTCATGGGATTGATCAAGTTGTAAAAAGGACTCATATATGATCATTTCAACTTCAGATTGTATGAAAGATGTCTTATGCAATTCATCATTACTAGATAAACAGTTTTTATAAGATTCTTTAATATAAAACCATGTCCGTTTTAATCTATTAAGTGCCAGTGATAATCCTTCATATTTATCATACTTTTCATAAATCAATGGCTGCAACAGTCCTTGCAAACAAATTAAGGCAATAAAACTATCGACAACATCACTTGAGCTATCCGAAGGTAAAGATTTTTGAATAATACATTCATATTTTTTTATGAGTTTTCCAATTTTGATTGAATGAGGTTCATTTTTATTAGAGATATATTCAATAAGTGGTTTTAAGATGGAAGATTGGCGATGCATTCGTTTTATTGAAAAGTCAATTTTAATTACTCCTTTCTCATCTCTAAGACATACTCCATCGCATACGGCAATAATGACAGAAATAATTAAAGGATGAGTATGAGATATAGAAATGTTATTTGATAATAAATACAAAGATAAATCTTTGTTAAAGATTTGATCAGATATAGTAGCTGACCTCATTATTATTCGTAAGGTTTGATCGATGATCAATTCGACTGATTCACTAACATTGTGTAATAACCACAGTTGTTGATAAACAGCAGATGGTATTGATTTCTGCTTGGTTTGAATTTTATCATTAGGTTCCTTAGCATTTTGCAATAAACATTGACAAAAGTTAGAGAGACGTTTTTCATCTTTCAATTGTGTTTGCATCCATTGTATTATAATATTTTCATGTAGTTTCAATAGACTTGTTATTAAATATGTTGTTCTACTTGGATAATATGGATGATCAAGTAAAGTGTTAAGTGCGATAAAGATAACTGAATTTGAAGGTAATCTTTGTATATCATTAAGAGCATCGAAAAAAAGAATTGTCCCAAATGGAATCGAATATTGTGTACATAAAGTGATAAGTAAATTACAAAACATGTCATAATTATCAGATGACCATTTCCAACTAATCCAACCAATAGCAAGAAGAAGTGATTGATGAAAACGAGGATGAACAGTGATTGTAACAATACGTTTTGCAACCTCATCAGGCGAACCATTTACAAGTGACTGAGCAACAAAATAATCTTGAAATGATAAATGAAGAAAACCAAATGTTTGTAAACCTCGTTCAGAAAAAATACCAATATTAAAATCAACTAACGATATCAATTTACAGACATATTCACGTAACATTTTATGATCACATGATATACGTTGTTGTTTTAAGGTTGAATAGCATAGCTGTTTTATATCGTACTCATCTATAAGGCCAGATGGTGAGTTTAAATGAAGATAACAAGCAACAGCGATCCAAAAATGAATAAGTACTCTCTCTGGAATTTTCGATTCATGATTTTTCCAAGAATGTAGTGCTACTTGAACAGCATGATCATAAACTTCGACTCGAGATTTAGAGTTAAATTTATCGAATGATTGGAAAGTAAATTTGCAGATCAAAGATAATAAAGAAGGATTTGATAATAATTCTGAGCTATTTTTTAGCAGTGCTTTCAATACATTATATCTTCTCTTCGATAGAACTTTTACTAGTTCTCCATCAAGATTAATTCCTTCATTCAGCAAAATTTTAAATAGACTTTTATCAACTTCGAACAACCATTTTTTCACAAACTCCTTTGTTTCATTATAATTCATTAATAAAAATGCATAGTGACACATGAAAGTACCAACAAGTGGATGTACTTGATAACCGATAATACGACTCGTAATAATTATCTGATTACCATCAGGCATACTCGGTGGCTTGGTTTCAATTATTTGATGATAACGATAATCTAACGATGTCCCATAAAACATTCTATCATCGAATGCCGAAATAAAATCAGGTCCACGCACATATTCATCAACAAATTTCCTAACAAGATCAACAATTTCTCTTTTTTCCCTAACATCAGTAGTCTCATCAAGTCCATCTAATAGAATCAAAGTATGACCGTGAGCTACCAATGCTTTCAACACATTTTTATAATCATCATGACAATAACGTTTTGAATCCCAGGTATGCTCGCCAATATAATCTATGACTGCCTTTGTTGGATATTGCTTAAGCCACATTGCAAATTCACCTATTCGAATCAAAATAGGAATACGAATTGGAATAGAATCATCTCCTTTTAAAGCTACTCGTTCTTGACCATTAATAATTGATTCAGCAAAAACACGTGTAATCCATTGAAGGAGACTAGTTTTTGCACTACCTGGATCACCTAATATGATAATCCATCGATTGCACCGAAGTATATTCGTAATGTGCTCGGCTTCAACACTCCTATTTATTTTTATTTGTTCGACTGAAGGTAAAAAGGTACTAAGATTATTATTGTCTCCCTTATGTGACTTATCATTTGTAGAAAATTGAGAATTTAAATTTTCAAATGACCTATTTGTGCAATCGAATTCTATCTCAATACATTCTAGGTTTTTCTTAAGATACTTCAGAGTTTCTGAACTGATTGAAGTTACTTTTAAATCATAAGTTTTACAAAAAAGATCATTAATATTCTCTATCAAACCGTGCACTTTCACTTTTGAATGAAAAGAAATGCATGTTCGAAGATATTCGTCGAAAAATTTCTGATGTTCACATAATAGTTGATTCAAACTTTTTTGTTCTTTTATATCAAGGTAAAATCGTGATTCACGATGCTCTATTTCTTTTTCAAAATTTATCATTGTGTTAAAATGATTCCAACTTCTACCCATACCTTGTTCGCCATTTGTTTCTTCTTGTAGATAAAGGACGTCCTCATGAGATTGAATCCAAATTCTACTTGAGATTAATTGATTATAATTTGTCAGCCTATTTAACTGTCGACAAATCAATCGAGTCCATTCTTTTCTTGGTGAATTCGAATTAATAGATGAAATAAGAGTGTCAAGAATATCGGCTAGTTGAGATCTGTCCTGGTACGAAAGCGGATGTTTTGATGGTGTCTGCAGTATTTTATGAATTGAATTTACTGCGCATTTAATCTCATTCATAACTATTCTTATAGTATAAGTTGGATGGAATGAAACAAACCAAAAACTGATTGTGCTATATTAAGAGAAAAGGCTATTATAAAGTACTATAATATCACCAATACTATACCTGATCTCATTTTAATCTTTGCATTTCGATAATAATAGTTTTTTGCTTTGTTCAAAGAATCAGCAACTCTGAAAATGATAAATATTTTAATTGTCTTCGGTCGGATAAAACAGCCACCAACGACAGCAATACGGCTTCTCCGAATTTCACCAATATGACTTTCGCCAATTAGTGAATGTCCTGGATATGTCCTGGCGAAAGTATAGTGGACTCTCACCAACTGAAAAAACGTTTCATAGACTTTTATCACTTGCCACAAAAGAATATAAATGTTGGATATGAGCAAGGAGAATGGGTATCAGTATATATCTTGATGCTGTCTATTAATCTACATGTTACACTATTGAATGCACATCAGACTCTCGCCAATTGATAAAAGTCTGATGGGCGAAATTGGGGAATCTCAGTAATACGGTAAAATATGACCATCATTTTGATAGATCCTTCGTTGATAATTGTATACAATCTGTCAACGGTGGAATACGATAACGTTCACAATAACTGTTTACGTAGCACCGTAAACGTTACGTATTTCAGTTGGATCCGTGAAAGGATATCATGTAGCATAAAGACAAACTCTTCAGATGAAAATTGACTGTTCACTTGCTTTCTATAGAGAATACACTAAAAATTTCCACAATTGTGGAATAGCAAATAAAATAAGAACTATACCACAAAACAAAGAATGTAGGAACGCTTGGGAGAATGCAACACCAAAATTTCTCGTTGAAACTACATACTTATATGAACTTTAAAACATAATTGAAAGATATATTCAAATTTTCACTTATTTTTTATTTTTTTAATTTCTATTGATTATCTTAAAACAAAGACATTCTAGAAAATAAGTATTACTCATTTTAACGAAGGATTTTCGTCATAGTTAAAATTCAAAGAAAAATTTTAAGGATTAATTAATTACTTAAACAGAATTGCTTTTTCATTTATGTGTAAAATGCGAACAAAATATTTAAAAATGTGTATTTGTCTTTTAATTTTTCATCTTTTGATAGAAAATCAACGAATATAATACAAAACGGAACATATATTTAACAAGATATTTTTTTATTGGTAGAAAATCCGAAAAATATTGTAAAGGGTAATTATTAATTCACTTATACAATTTTTGTGGAACTCGCGCATGATTTAGAAGAAAATAGAAAGTGTGAGTTTTAAGTGAAGGCTTTCCAACTCCCTATACTCCTCCTCTCCTCATTACAGATATCCCTCCATTGCAGATAGCCTCTGTTACAGACAAGTGCTCATTAGAAGGGTGTGGGGGTGGGGGTGGGGACGGGTGTGGGTGTGTGGATGTGGGGGTGGGTGTGTGTGTCTGTGTGGATTCTCCCTTTACCTCCACCTACCCTCACCCACACCCACCCACACCCACACCCACACCCATACGTCATCATATAGTAAAATACAATCGTTCCCTAGTTTGAAACAGCCTATATGTTTGCTATACGAAGAACGAGAAAACATTCAATGGTATGTTTCGTCACTATTTAATAGTGCATATAAAATGTAATTACACAATGTGAAGATTATTCAAAATAAAGTTAGTCTATACAGAATTTACTTTTGCAATTTTTCTGCAAAAGTAAATTCTATCATCTTGGTAGTCTCTCTTCATACATTGTGTAAGTACAGTCATATTTCGCTGCTGTTAAAAGTTTACAATTTATATTCTCAAAAAGTCGCTCATTCACTTATGTTATAATAAGCATTTTTTTAATAAAAGTTTTAGTTAAAACAAATATTTTAAAGCATACCACTAATTTTTGAAAACCAGTTATGTTATTAATTTTTATATGTGATCTTGTAAGGATCTTAAGAAAGCTTTTAAACAGATCGATAGATCTCGAAACGAAAGTGTTACTGCAATTAGAGGTAAACGGTAGAAAAATAATGTTTTTATTGCCGTAAGCCACATAAAATACGATTCATTTATGGACACTGGAAAACATCGTTAATGACACAATTTACCTCCTCGTCAGTGGCGTAGCCAAGGGGGAGGCAAATGGGCAATTGCCCATTTCATTTTAAGAGTTGCCCATTGTAATTTTTAAAAGTAAAGCTTTGCCCATTTCATTTTTTAAATTGTTTAGTTCTTTGCTGCTGCATACATTTATAAAGATCTCAATATAAATCCAGATGAAATATGCAAATTATATACATAAATGCATCATCGTTGTCTTGATTTAGGTGTTTCAATTTGAAATATAAATTTTATAAATAGAGACATTCAAAATAGACTAAACATACATGACTCAGTCTTAAGGTCTCTCCACCCTCACAAATCAATATCAGTTCAGGAATATTCTAATATCATGACATTCGGAGAATATGTTGTAGCTGTATCGGAGAAGCTATGGTAAAACTTTCAGTTCTATACTATAACGTTTGACAGAGATATCCACCAAACAAGGTTCAAAAATAGCTGATTCGGCCTCCCAAATTTGTTGGCCTAGGGTCTTTATATATATTTAATTTCTGTTTTTGATTGAAAGAGCATGTCAGAATGCAGGGCACCAAAGACTTATTTTTTTGTAATTTTTATTTCTTGAAACGAGAGAAGGAATTACGAGTTTGATGAGTCAAAAAACTCTAAAAATGGAGCTCAATTTATAAAAGTGATTGTACATATGACAGAAAAAAGCTTAACTAAAAAGAAGAACTCTTTGGTGCCGCACGTTTTGACATGCTGTTTCAAATAAAAAAATTAAATGCATACAGGGTGGTCCAAAAGTAACCGAGCAGTCTTTGATTGCGAATAACTTTTGAGAGGGAAAAGATAGAGAGCTGCGGTTTTTATCGTTTAAAAGAGAAAAAAAACTGTATCGAATCTTGAATACCGAATTTTATAACAAAATTTCTCATGGTTTTCGGACAAGTTTCTTTTAAAAAGTTAGGCTTTTTAAATAGGTTTAAAAGGTGGATTTTTCGTCAAAAAATCAGAGAAAATGTCGGCTTTTTGCTACGAATCTGTTGAGAACGCGTGGTAAAATGTTAAGAACTAATGATTTGCTAAATCTTTCTGGCATTGAACCTACACAAATTCTTGAACTTTAGTTAACAATTCTGGTGCACTACTGAAAATTAAAATTCTAAAACTTCCACATTACACAATAATTTCTATTACAAAAAATTCTGGAGATTCCGAGTGAATATTGTCATAAAAATCTGGTGTTCAAGATTCGATACAGTTTTTTCTCTTTTTAACGATGAAAACCGCAGCTCTCTATCTTGTTCCTATCAAAAGTGATTTGCAATCAAAGACTGCTCGGTTACTTTTGGACCATCCTATATAATTAGCCTAGGCGGAAAAGTTTGGTTTGAGCATTCGACAAATCATAGACTGAGAAAAACGAAAAAAATTTTTCGATTTCACCAAAAACCAGCTTATTTTTCAAGTAGATAGTAACGGAAAACCTCAAATGTTTTTGCTAAAACAATGTACGAAATAAAAAGCTATATCTCTTTTAAAAGGGCAGACTTCCGACTATCTTCACACACACTTATCCCAATTTTCATTTTTTGACGAAAATTGACTTTTGGGAGGGGGGGGGGCGAGCTTAAGATCTGCTTTTTATGCAAATTTCATTAAAGGAACCTCGTTTCATTATTTTTCGTGTTTGTTTTTAGGCTATCAGTACTTGGTTGGGTCAAAAAACTTTTTGCCCATCAATGAAAACCTTGATCATTTCGCCCAACATTTTTTTCTAACATAAGAGAAGTTTGCCCATTGGTCTAAAAATCCTGGCTACGCCACTGCTCCTCGTATACGGTTCGAGCGAATATACCAGCATACTGTGGCAAAAGACGCCGTAAAGGGCTACGTTTTAATCAATCTGTGATATCTTATATTTCTATTAATACTATTTGTAACAAATCCCTATCTTCTTCTTTGAAACACTCCATAGACGGGCATTTTTCCTGCCCAGATCCAGACGTTACTATGTTGAAACGAATTTAAGATTTAGAAAATTGATTCATGATTAGGAAGAAAACAAAAATGAAATAGAGAAAACCAACAATAACACAATAGACTAAACAAGTCTTCATGGGGAATACAGCTCTCAAAATTATTAAATGAAGAAAATTATGGGAAAGCTTAATTTTTTAATTAAATTTGCCCTACGGAATGTGCAAAAGTTTTCAGGATAAATGAATAAAAACACAGAAATTAAATTAAATTTTCCATGTCTCTTAGAAGAAGTGGACGAAGTAGAAGCATAGTTATTAGAAGAAAAAGAACACTAAACGAAGTTATTCTATTCTTCTTCTCATCAAACGCGCAGTGACTTTCAGAATAAATCACTGATACAGGAGAAAAATCAAGCAAAACTAACCTTAAGGTTTTCTCAGAAAAACGATGAGCACTTCTCAGAGTAACCCACTGAGAAAAAGAAAAAGTATTTTTTCCCATTCTCTTGCTTCTGTTAACCTCCGACAATTATCGGAATAAATAAAAATAAAAAAAAGTAAAGTAACCTAGGTTTCTTCATTTTAATGTTGCTTTTTCTTAGAAAAATGACGACGGAGTTCTGAATAACCAACCGAAGAGAATGAAAAAAAATCTTGCTTTTCATCATATTGCTTCTGTAAAATCTTCCATGGCTATCGTAATAAGTAAAATATAAAAAAAGAACTAAAATGCACTAAATTTCTTGTTTCCCTGTTAAAAAAACGGTCAAATTATTAACGTTCCCTAGACTAAGAGGATAGGGTCTAGAAACCGAAATTCATCTGTGTCTGTCTGTAACACTTGGTACAAGTGACCATATTTCTGGTACAAAGGGCCATAATTATGGTACAGACGACCATTTTTATGGCACAAAGAAGAGTGTGGGTGTGGGTGTGGGTGTAGGGTGGGTGTGGATCTGTATGT